TATCTTTAGTCCTTTTTTTTTTTTTTAATTTTGAGATAGGATTTCACTAAGTTGCTAAGACTGGCTTCAAACTTGCCTTCTGCCTCAGCCTCCTGAATCACTGGGAGAGAATTGATTTTGATCATTTTCTTTTTTTTTAATATTTATTTTTTAGTTTTACACAATACCTTTGTTTATTTTTATGTGGTGCTGAGGATCAAACCCAGGGCCTCGCACGTGCTAGACGAGCACTCTATGGCTGAGCCACAACCCCAGCCTGATTTTGGATCATTTTCTAAAGAGATAATTTTATATCTTTTATAAAGAATTTATATTTAATTCATGTGGGAAATATTCCATCACTACCAGAATCTTATTGCATTTCCAAAAATCTCATACAGAGGCTGTTTATATAATCAGTTTGGAAAAGCCTTAAACTATGTCATTTAACTTACTTTGCATGTCTTGGTTTCAATACATCCTGCCTCTATATTTGTTGGAAAGTAATTTCAGTTGATCTGTTTGCTTAGTCATTAGATTACAAGGGTTGGATGATTTTGAGACTTGATAACTTAATGACCATCATTAGTGTTAGTATTGCCATTTCTACCGAGTGCAGGACTATAAGGGCATAATGATGACAAATATGCTATCTGTATGTCTTATCATAACATTAATTCTGAATGGAAACCAGTAGATTATAATGAAAGTTAGAAAGCCTTGACCACTGTTAATTTCATATGCTGTTTCAAAGGACCTGGACTATAAAAAAAATTCTTACTTACTGGTTTTAGTGTGTGTGGAATTGTTGAGTGTTCAATAGTTGTTTAAAAAAGCACTTGGGCCAGGCATGGTGGTGTGTGCCTATAATCCCAGCGACTTGGGAGGCCAAAGCAGGACTGTGAATTGAAATCCAGCCCCAGCAACTCGGCAAGGCGCTTTGCAACTCAGTAAGACCCTGTCTCTAAATAAAATACAAAAAAAGGGTTGGAGATGTGGCCCCGTGGTTAAATACCACTGGGTTCAATCCCCAGTACCGCCCCTGCCAAAAAAAAAGCATTTGGTAGCCAGGTTTGTTGGCACACACGTGTAATCCCAGTGACTCAAAAGGCTGATTATAAATTCAAGGGCACCTCAGCAAATTAGTGAGACCCCTGAGCAACTTAGTGAGAACCTGTCTCAAAATAAAATAAAAAAGGGCTGGGGATGTAGCTCAGTGGTAAAGTTCCCCTGACTTCAATCCTCAGTACCAAAGGTGGAGAAACAAAGGCATTTGGATGTAATTTGTCCCAATAGTTTCTAAAACCAAATGTCATATCATTTATTTTTTTCATCATAGTTAAAATTCAGCAAATGGAGAGCCAAATGAATTCTGACCTCTTGGAAATTTAGTATTACTTATATAAACAATTCTTAGATTAAAGAACAAAAGGTGAAATTGCTGACTATTTAAATGTGAATGTTAATTAGACCTCTGTATTTCAATTTTTATGAATGAGACCAAAACAGTTCTTAGTAGAAATTGTTCCATGTAAGCAACCAGGAAGACAGATGGCAGTCTGTGTCTTGTCACCACTCTTGCAGTTTCAATAATGCCTACAATATTGTAAGATCTCAAAGGATTTGTTGAATTAAATAATGATTACTCAGCAAGCTTGAAGAAGAAAAAAGCATCTGTGCTGGAGATGTTACTCAGTGACAGAGCACAGGCTTACCATGTGTAAGGTTTGGGAATGAATTCCCAGCACCACAAATCAAGTGCCCCAAATGAGTGGATGAATATGTTTTTTAAAAAAATAAAGACCAAATCATGGAATGAGGAACAATAAAGATTTATCCAAAGCATTTCTCTGAGGGCTGGGATATAGCTGGGTAGGATACTTGCCTAGCATACACAAAGTCCTGGGTTGAATCGCCAGTACCAGATTAAACAAAAAACAAACACACAAAAATACCTGTTTCTCTGAAGAAAACTATTACCAGATTTGGTAATGCCTCTGTCTTTATCATTATGATAAAGAAAGGGATGTACCTATACTCTTAAGGGTATTTTTAAAATATATAAAGTGTGATTTTTATAGGAAGAGGACTTATTTTCTAGGAAATATTATTAAATGATTTTTTTTAAACAGCCCCCAAAGGCAAAAAACAAGGACCTTTGAAGGAAAGAGGAAGTGTTCGGTTGTCACAGAGCCAGAGGAGTGCGGCTGGGCAGAGGGAGCACTATGTCCACCGAAGTCCCAGAGGCTGCCCCGGCAGAGGAGCAGAAGGAAATGGAAGAAGATAAAGTGACTAATCCAGATAAAGCTGAAGAAGCAAAATTAAAAGCAAGGTATCCTCACCTGGGACAAAAGCCTGGAGGTTCAGATTTTTTAAGGAAACGATTGCAGAAAGGGCAAAAATATTTTGATTCTGGGGATTGCAACATGCAAAAGCAAAGACGAAGAACAAGCAACTTCCCCTGCAGGCCCGGATAAGAAAGAGGTCACTGGTGACCATATTCCTACTCCCCAGGACCTTCCTCAACGGAAACCATCCCTTGTTGCTAGTAAGCTGGCTGGCTGATTAAAAGAGCTGACCTGCATGAATTTTCTAATTCCCATTATGTCTCCTCATATGTTACTTATCCACCTTTTATTCCTTTCATTCACTAAGCCATTTAAATGAGACTGGCGGTTTTGCAGGTAGCCATAGTATGTACTGGAATATACATGTGTAGAGGTTTTGATTAGTTTTAACAGTGCATTGATGAAAAGGACATGTTAGAGCAACATAAGTAATCTACTTGAAAGTATCTGTATATATTACTTAACTCCTAATAAAGGTTCCCACAAGTAATAAGCAAATTTTACAATTTTAATGTTTTGCCTTCCTCGCTTATCTTAATTATAGCTGTGTATGTTACTCTTATTTAATGTAACCTCTGTATTGATTTCTTCTGTATTTTCCTTCTGGATTTTGTCAAACAGAAGTTTAAGACCACAAGTTTGAAGAAAGATCACAAATTCAAATGAAAATACGAGGGGCTTTGAAAGATTTGTATAACTGTGCTTGAACTTGAATGGCCTTAAACCTGTTTCAGCTTTAACAACAGAATTTTATTTGGGCAATATTTGCCCATTCTGGTGTAACTTACGTGACTCCAGTGCTTAACAGCTGCCATTGAAGCTAGTATTCTTATTTAGTTTTGTAGTGTTAAATACCTTTCATTGTTGAAGATGTGAATGAAGTATGCATGTGCATTGACTGTTGAATTCTCTTTTGTGCCATTTTTATAAATACAGTAGTTTTGCACAACCTTTCAAAACAAAAACCTCAAAAAATTATAATTAAAAATCATGTGAGACTATATAATTGTATAGTTACACCCTCAAGGAACAAAACAATTCTACAGCAAATTTGCCAGTTTATGTTGATGTAATTCTTATAATTAGATGACAATAGCTTCGGAACAACAAATTCAAAAATTTCATTCAGGAAGATACATGAATAAAACAATAGCTGAACCCAGTAGTTAATGAAAGAATAATATATGATTAAAATATATTATGCTTATAATATGCTTACAAACCTTTTATCTGGATGGATGAGAATTCTGAATGAAAATGTACTTTTAGTTTTTACTTACTCAGTTTCTTCTAAGTACAGATTTTTTAAAAATATTTTTGGTTGTATATGGACATAATACCTTTATTTTATTCATTTTATTTTTATGTGGTGCTTAGGACTGAACTCAGTGCCTTACACATGCTGTAGAGCTCTACCACTGAGTCACAACCCCAGTCCCTAAGTGCAGTTCTTCTCCCTTTTAGAATTACCACCCTCATTCTACCCTAACCACCTTTCTTTGCAAGAGTCACTGTTCTAGAAAAAGAAGGACTAAATAACCTTTGGGGGAAAAAAAGTAAAATAATTTATTTATTTTTATGTGGTGCTGAGGGTTGAACCCAGGACCTCGCACATGCTAGGCAATCGCTCTAGTGCACACGTTTAGTACTTTAATAACTCCTATCTTTAACAGGTGGAATTTTATAACTATGGGGAAAGTAATTTATTGTTATATAACTTTATTATGATAAACTGGCCATTTTCATTGATGCTGTGTGCTTGTCATTCTGGGGATTGAACCCAGGAGCATTTTACCTCTGAGATACATCTTCATTTCTTTTTTCAATTTTATTTTGAGGTAGGATCTTGCTTAATGCCCAGTTCAAGTTGGTCTTGAACTTGTGATTCTTCTGCCTCAGCATCTCAACTGAAATTACAGGTGTATGTCTTCATGCCTGGCTACATTTCTTTTCTTTTTTTTTTTCCAATATTTTTTTAATTGTAACACAGACACAATACCTTTATTTTATTTTTAATTTTTTTTTAATATTTTTTTAGTTGTAGATGGACATAATATCTTCATTTTTATTTATTTTTATGTGGTGCTGAGGATCGAACCCAGTGCCTCACACATTTAAGGAAAGTGCCCTATTTCTGAGCTGCAACCCCAGCCCCTAGATTTCTTTTCCAAAGTGATATGTACACTGAGAAAAATATCATTTAGAGGTTATCTGATGAATTGCTGACCCCATCACTGGTTCGGGTCATACATTTATAGAAAAGTATAATTCATTCCTTTTTCCTTAGGCCCAAACTGCCTTCTCAAGTTTGGGGTAATTGTGCATTACCAGTGTTTAATCTTCACAGTGAATTTCTGGATACCCTTTAACGCATCAGTTGGGCTTCTCCATTATCCTCTATGTATTCTGAACACTGATAATTTTCTAGTATACCTCACAGATGACAAACTACCCTCATTCTGCCCTAACCACCTTTCTTTGCAAGAGTCACTGTACTGAAACCATTTTGGAAAAGAAGGACTAAGTAACCTTTGGGGGGAAAAAAAAGTAAAATTAAATTTATTCCTGGTAGTGTAAATCAGACTAAATTTCTGACAAATCAAGAGACCTCATATAACAATAAAAATACAAAAAAGAAACTTCACAAGTATGACAAGAAAACATGGCTGGTACCTTTTATAACCGTAGAATGGGGATACCAATAACTATTGACTTGAAGTTAGGCAGGGTGGTGCACACCTGTAATCCCAGCAACTGGAAAGGCTGAGGGAGAAAGATTGCAAGTTAAAGGTCATCCTGGGCAACTTAGAGACACCTTGTCTCAAATTTTCAAAAAACAAACAAACCAAAAACAACAAACCAAAAAAAAAAAAAAGGAAGAGGAATGAAAAGGAAGAGGGAATAGGAAAGAAAGAGGGTTGGGGATGGAGTTCATTTATATAACATTTGCCTAGCATGGACAAAGCACTGAGTTCAATCTCCAGTATCACAAAAACAAAAATAACTATGACTCAAAAACCCTGCAGAAACAAAGAAGTCAAATTTTTGTAGGTCTAAAACAATATAAAATGGGAAAATGATAAATTGAGATATGAAAGACCCCTAGTATGATATAGAATTAGGCTAAAAGCATAAATATATATTTCATAGGAAAAGAAAGAACTGGCCAGGTGTGGTGGTACATGTCTGCAATCCCAACAACTGGAAAAAGAAGGGTCTTCCTTAATGTTCAGGTAAGTAGTCACCAATACATGCACATGGAGAAACCATCCTAAGCGAGGGGAAATCATTACCTTACTTATCTTTTTGGAATGTTCTTCTTCCATATATCTGTATTTCTTTTTTTAAAAAATCTTTATTTGCTTATTCATTTTTTTAATCAAATGGGGTATAATTTCTTATTTTTCTGATTGTACAGGTTGCAGAATCACATTGGTCATACAGTCACCCATATACATACAGCAATAATAATGTCTATTTTATTCTGCTGCCCTTCCTTTCCCCCCTTCCCCCTCCCCTCCTCTCCCATCATGCTTATTCATTTTTATGTGGTGCTGAGGATCAAACCCAGTGCCTCACCTGTGCGAGGCAAGTGCTCTTCAACAAAGCTATAACCTCAACCCCCAAATATCTATATTTCTTTTTTTTTAATATTTATTTTTTATTTGTACACAATACATTTATTTTGTTTATTTATTTTTATGTGGTACTGAGGGTTGAACCCAGGACCTCACACATGCTAGGTGATCACTCTACTGCTGAGCCACAACCCAGTCCCTATCTATATTTGTTATCCCCTCATTTCAGTTGTCTGCTCAAAAGTCACGTTATGAAAATGTCCAATACGTAATTGCAGCTCTACTGTATTTTCCACTAATAGACTATTTTTAAAGTTGGTCTACTGCTTTTCTCTCCAATGCTTAATTAAAGCAAGGACTTTGTTGCATCCATTGCTTTGTCTCTAGTGCTTAGTACCATTTTTTTGAATGTTGTTGATATTTAATACTTGTGAACAACTTAAAAATGCAAATGTACCTGTATTCATCAATCTCCTCAGATGCTTCTGATATAAAACAAAATTTGAGAGTACTACTCATAATGTTTCAATGATTTATACATTAACTTAGAATAAAATCCAAACTCCTATTCAAGTCTTAAAGGTTGGGGCTGGGGTTGTGGCTCAGTAGTAGAGCACTTGTCTAGCATGTGTGAGGCTATGGGTTCAATCCTCAGTACCATATAAAGATAAATACATAAAATAAAGGTATAAAAAATAAAGGTATTACAAAATTAAGGTATTATGTCTACCTATAACTACAAATATATACTTTTTAAAAGTCTTAAAGGTTGCTGCATGATCCAGTTCTTGAATACATTTTACTTCATTCTGAGCCACTACTGTAATTCAAGAATGATACTCTACTCTTATTGGCCTGATGTAAGATCCTGGAATATATCAAATTCTTTCTTCTTTGCCAGTTAGAATTTCCACATGCTACCCCAGCTGCCATGAATGCCTTCTTTCCTTCTCTCTTTTTATTTTTTGTACTGGGGATTAAACCCAGGGGCACTTAAACACTGAGACAATCCCTAGTCCTTTTTATTTTGAGACAGGGTCTAGCTAAGTTGCTTAGGGCCTTGCTAAATTGCTGAGGCTGGACTTGAACTTGCAATCCTCCTGCCTCTGCCTCTCAAATCACTGGGCTTACAGGTGTGCACCACTATGCCCAGTTATTCTATATTCTTTTAAAGCAATACTAATCCCATCAGGAAATAATTATCAGGGTATAATGATTCCTAACAATTATCTTAACAATTTATTATTATTATTATCAGTAAATAATTTCCTGAAGTGGAAACTAAACAGAACAATTAAATGCAGGGTTTTATTTCCTGTTCTCTATATTGACTGGCTTTAAAGAAAAAAAAAAAAAAACACCTTGGTTTTATTTATTTATTTTTATGTTGTGCTGAAGATGGAACCCAGTGCCTCACATGTGCTAGGCAAGCGCTCTACCACTGAGTCATAACCCCAGCCCTTGACTGGCTCTTTATACTGCTTGTATCATTAATCTACATTCAAAACTTGAAGTCTCACTAAATTTTCAATAAACTGTACTGAATTAAAAAACTGCCAAACTCATATTCTAGCAAGCATAATAATGGTCCATTATGGCCTCTACTTTTCATTACCAAAAGCATATGTAGGGGCTGGGGCTGTAGCTCAGTGGCAGAGCACTTGCCTAGCATGCATGAGGCACTGGGTTCAATCTTCAGCACCACATAAAAATAAAAAATAAAGGCATTCTGTCTACCTACAACTATATTTTTTTAAAAAAAAGCAAATGTAGATGCGTGTTTATAACTTTAAACCCTCAAATGCTGGGTTTATAGTTCTTGCAGCTGCTATTACAAAAATTAGGAGTTATGACATAACATGAATTACTATTATTTTAAATGCATGCAAAGTATACAGCCTATCCATTTCAGAGTATTCCTAAGTGGAATAAGTGTAACAAAGTCTATTTGTTTACATCCAACAGACTTATTCACCTGTAATAACACTAGTAATTGCAGATGTTATTATCCAAATGCCTTTAAGTTTTATAGGCGATAGAGCCCTAATAGTCACCTATAGGCCAGGCACAATGGCAAATGCTTGTAATCCCAGTTACTCAGGAGGGTGTGGCAGGAGAATCAAAAGTTTCAGGCCAGCCTCAGGAACTCAGTGAGACCCTAGCTCAAAATAAAAATTTAAAAAGTTCTCAGGGCTGGGCATAGTGGTGCACATCTGTAATCCCAGCAACTTGGGAGGCTGAGGTAGGATGATCCAAAGTTTGAGGCCAGCCTTAGCAACTTAGTAAGCAAGGCTCTAAACAATTTAGTGAGACCCTTACTCAAAAATAAAAAAATAAAAATGGCTGCAGATATGGCATAGTGGTGAAGTGCCCCTGGGTTAAATTCCTGGTACCCCCTACCCCCCAAAAAAAAGGTCTAGGGAGGCAGCTCAGTGGTAAAGCATCCCTGGGTTCAATCCCCAGTACAAAAAAAAAATCATCTCTGACTTCACATCTTCAATATTATTTTGTCTTGCAAATTCAAACTCTGAACAAATCTATAGCCAAACTATACTATTAGCTTGAAGACTAGACGTTATTTCCTTTAATAGCAAAGCAAGTATTGGAAAGCCTAACTAACTTATCCTTACTACCAACTATTTACCTAGGTGGAGAATTATAGTATTATTTTCATGATCTAAATTTTATTTTTTTGGGTGGTCTAATATAGATTGAACGAAGGGCGGTGCACATGCTAGGCAAGTGTTCTGCCACTGAGCTACACCTCCAGCACTTATGTACTAATTTTACCACTATTCTAAGAGGACTTAATATACAATTATAGCCCTGAATTCCTTGTATATATGAACCACAACACAATGAGGAAAAAAGTCACAGTAATAATAACAAACATCATTCACACAAGAAAATGCTCTTGTATTTCTACATCTCCTACCACTATTACATCTATCACTTAACCCAAAAATTATTCTAGAACCTATATACTGTAAATAGAGTTTAAATAAAACACTAGAATGTGAATTTAGGGATGGGGGTGTAATTCAATGGCTACTCAGTGGTGTAATTCACACATGCCTGGCATGTGTGAGGCCCTGGGTTCAAACCTCAGCACCACAATTAAATAGATAGATAGATTAAAAAAATAAAATAAAATAAAGGCCCTTTGACAACTAAAAATATATTTAAAACAACAACAACAAAAAGCTCTATTTACCAAGAAAGTATGCAAAAGAACTGCCATATCATTCCTTCACATAGAACAACACGGCTTTCTCACCTTTCAAAGGATAGAAGTAATCAGTTGGCTTTAGAAGTGAAAAAGCATGATGCAACTCCAAATACAAGTAATAAATTTATTCTCTCCCCCATCATAATTTCATTTGCCAACTTATTTTAACCAATTACCCTAACAATCACTAACATTTATAAAAACACCTCTTCCCCACACCGTGTGAAGACTTCTATTTCACATGCTTTTACCACAAGCTTTACTCCAATCCTAATGTTTATTCATTTCAAACTGACACTGAATGTCTTTTCAGATTTTATAATTGAGGGCTGGGGTTGTGGCTCAGTGGTAGAGCATTTGCCTAGCATGTGTGAGGCACTGGGTTCAATCCACATAAAAATAAATAAAATAAAGGTATTGTGTCTGTCTACAACTAAAAAATAAATAATAAATAAATAAATACTTTATGATTGATGCTCAATTCAAGTTAGATTGCTTCTCAATAACATCTATACTAGTACCACTTTTTGTTACATGATCTACTATGGAAGTTTCAATATGATATCTATTTGGACATAGATATTAATCTTTGGGTGTGTTACTGGGGATTGAACCCAGGGGTGCCCTACCACTGAACTACACCCCAAGTACTTTTTATTTTTTGAGACACTCTCGTTGAGTTGCCAAGGCTGGCCTTAACCTTGTGATCCTCCTGCCTCAGCCTCCTGATTAACCTGGATTATAGGTGTGTGCCACCATATCTGGCAATTCTAAAACATTTTTAAACTCTATTTATATCTTTGAGAGCTCCTCAAAAAGGCCTTAACACTGCCTGGTGAACTAATTCACTGTCCCAATGTTGGCTCATTTCTTCTCTCTTTTTAATCCTCTACAATCAGGTTTTTGTTCCTCTCATTTCCAAACCTACTTGTCAGGGTTACCAATATCCTTTTGTCTTGCCAAATCCAATAGCTAATTCTCAGCCTTCATCTTACTTGACCAATTGGCAGAATCTCTCATTAACCAAATTCCCCACCCCCTTTTTTCTGTACCAGGGACTAAACCCAGGGGTACTTAATCACTAAGCCACATCCCTAGCCTTTTTCTTTTTTTGAGACAGGGTCTCACTAAGTTGCTGAGGTTGGGCTCAAACTTGCAATCCTCCTGCGTTAGCCTTCTGAATCGCTGGAATTACAGGCATGCACCACCACACCCAACTCAAATCCCTCCTTTTGTTTGTCACTGGTTCCTGGTACACTACATTCCTTGATAACAAGCTATTCAGTCTCCTTTGCTAGACTAGTCTCCTCTTCTTGACTGAATGTGAAATGCCTATGGTTTAGTCCTTGCACTTTGCCTTGCCTTCAGTCTAAATCAAGTCCTCCATAATCACATCCGGTTCCATGATACAAGATTAATCCCATATTTCTTATTGGTCCTGACTATCCCCACCACCTGAAGGCTTCCAAATGCTTATCTAGTTTCTCCATATGGATATCTAATGAGCATCTCAAATACACAACTTGACTTTCTTCTGCCAGGTTCTTAACACTGATGACTCTATTTCCAACCTTCAAAGTACTTGACTTTAAAAGTATTTATTCTATTTTTAAAATATCACCAATTCTCATCTATTAAACCCCATTCCAAGCCACTACCTCCAATGTGAAATTCTGAACTAGTCCTCTAATGGTCTTCCTGCTATTATTATTATTATTTAGTTTTTTAGATGGATACAATACTTTTATTTATCTCTTTATTTTTATGTGGTGCTGAGGATCAAACCCAGTGCCTCACACATACAAGGCAAGCACCCTGACACTGAGCCACAATCCCAGTCCTGCTTTCATTATTTTTTAAAAATATATTTTTAGTTGTAGATGGACACAATACCTTTGTTTGTTTTACGTAGTGCAAGGCAGGCACTCCATCACTGAGCTACAAACCAGCCCCGCCCCCCCCGCTTCCATTTAAAAAAATATTTTTAGTACTAGATGGACATAATACCTTTATTTTTTATTTATTTTTATGTGGTGCTGAGGATTGAATCCAGTGCCTCACATGTGCTAGGCAAGTGCTCTACCACTAAGCTACAACCCCAGTACCTCAGGATCTTTAAACAAAGATCCCTTACATCTGCACAAAACAAGTCAGGGGCTGGTTTCCATATACAGAATAAAATTTCATTACTTGCAGTGGCCTAAAAGGTCCTATAAGATCAAATCTCTATCTATTTTGGTTACCTCACCTCTCCTTTCCACTCTCACTGTCTCTGCTCTAATTTCCCTGGCTTTCTTACTAATCCTTAAATAAGCAAAGTTCAATCTATCTCTGGGACTTTGTGCTTCTGCTTCCTCTACCAGAATCTATTTCCTTGATTTTTTTTCATGGCTAACTTTATTTTGGTCCCAGTTCAAAGATTACCTCCCCTGACAGATTATCCTGACCATCCTAATCTAAGAACACAGGAAATTCTCAATAGACCTAGTTGGAGATACTTGTCCAAGTTTAAATATAAAAGAACATCTAGGAGAAAAAACAATTCAAAAAATAAATAGAATGATTTCCCCTGAGAGAGACCAAAGGTAGTTTTCCTTTTTAAAACAAAAGAGGAAATAGGAGAGAAGAGTGGGATATATATATATATATCTCCACACTGATATAATGTACCTGCTCTTCCCAGGTGTCAGGCCTTCTTTCCTCGGGCCTTTCATGAGAGTTTCACACAAACATCTCAAAGAGCTGCTACTTCACAGACCAACCATAATACTACCAGCAACAGATGATTTGCGGTGACCAACCTTCATTTCCCTGAGCACTGTCTTCCTGTTTTGATTCTTACCACCATCCAAGGCTCCTTCCCTTGCTCCAAGAAGGAAGGCACATTTGGCTTAGGGATGATACAGCTTAAAAGAAAAGAAATGGAACATGGTGATTCTACAGGAGTTCTAGAATCAAATCAGGTTCATTGGCCAACAATGAAGAGACAGTGACAGAGGAAGGTATCATGATCCAAAGGATGATAAACACAAAAGTACACAGTGAACTACTCCATTTCTACCTCTACAAACTGAAATTTTCCTTGGAAATGGAAATTAGAAATTCACAATGAAGGAGGCAGAAATTATATGGGGACAAATTCTGATTATTATATAAGAAGAGCTTACTGAGTGAGGTTAAATTGCTATAGTTCTCTAATGTCCTATCCTTATCCCTGTGGGCAAGGTCCAGGCATTCCCATTCCTCCCGAGAGAAGTTGACAGACATATTACTGAAAGTCACCGGCCACTAGAACAAAAAATTCATTCTTTATTTGTGAAAATATGGTAACAATTTTGAGGTGAAATGAGAAAGGATGGAAGAGGTCATGGAAGGAGGTGGTAAGACACAATAGACAATAGGCTATGGCTGATAATATTAATATTATTGGTCACTTAAGGAATATATGTGCCTAAACTGTAGTAGCAACATGATTCTCAAGTACTCGTATTGCTACAGACAAACCTTCTGTGTATAATAGGACAATTCAATTAATCAGAAAGGTCTGGAAGTAAAAAAGGGGAAATGCGGACATGAAAAATTGAATGCAATCAGACAGAATATTAAACTTTCTCATTCTAATAAACAATAATAAAATCTTTTTTGTTTTAATTATAGATGGACACAATACTTTTATTTATTTACTTTTATGTAGTAATGAAGATTGAACCCAGTGCCTTACACGTGCTAGGCAAGTGCTCTAGCACTGAGCCACAACTGCAGCCCAACAATTAATTCTTTATGAAAATAAGTCTTCCCTTCTCTTCTCCTTTTAAACAAAAAGATAAACAAAATTGATAGACTCTTTCCAAACAATTTTTGCCAGGTCTCTAGACTAATAGAATTTGAAAATAACTTAAGAAATTCTGGTCCATGAAGAGCAAAATGCAGGCTTTAGAAACCATTTTAATATTTCATGCATGTAATTTTGACATCTGAAAATAGGTTTTTGTATATTTATGGTGGGAAGTATTTGGTAACTTTCAACAAAGTGGGGTGTTAATTTTTGTACAGTCTATGGGCATTTACACATATTTTTAATGTATTAAAATTTGGTAATTATGTGCACATGAAATTAATAAAATAGTTACTTCCTGTTATGATTTGTGAATTCCTTAAGACCTTGGTTTTTTAAAATAACTTTATATGAGAAATAATACTACATCTTTATATTTTAAAAATTGTATTGCTGCTCAAGAATGGTACCCTGTTGTCAAAAAGACATACATTCATAATTGTACATTCAGCATTGTAAATAACCTTATGAAATCCTTTTTTTAATTGAAGTTATTCAAAATAAAAATTTAAATTTAAAAGCTCTGGACTGGCACATTCTGGCCATCTCCAAGGCAAACCTCACTGAAAACCGTCTTCACTCATTGGTTCCTGGGTGAGATTAGTATGATGATAAGTAGAATAATCCCCGCCCCCCATGTCCACATCCTATTCCCTTGAACCTGTAACTACATTACCTTACATGACAAAAGGGACTTGTCAGGTGTGATTAAGGATCCAGAGATATGGGAAATTATCCTAGATTACTTGGCTGGGCCTAATGTAATCACAAGGGTATTTATAAATGACTGAAAAAACAGGGAAGTCAGAGGAGGAGACCTTGTTATAAACATACAAGTCAAAATGATATGATTCTTGACTTTGAGAATGCAAGGAAGCCACAAGCCAAAGACTGTGGGCATTCTCTAGATCCTAGAAAACATAAGGAAACAGATTCACCTCTAGAACATCCAGAAAAAACACAGCTTGGCTGATACCCTGACTGAAGCCCTATCCGACCCATTACAGACTTCTGACCTCCAGAAGTATAAAAATAAACTTCTTGTTTTTCTTTTTTTGGTACTGGGGATTGAACCCAGGGGTGCTTTACCACTGAGCTATATCCCTAGCTCTTTTTATTTTTTTGAATCAGGATCTTACTAAGTTATAGAGGATGGTCTTGAACTTGTGATCCTCCTGCCTCTAGAGTAGCTTGGATTATAGGTGTGAGCCACTGGGTCCAGTAATTTCTTTCTTTCTTTTTTTTTTTTTTGTTTTTTTTAGACAAATTTATTGTTGTTACAATAACAACAGGAACACAAGGGTCAAGATCTCTTTCTTCACAGGACTCCGTTCCCACCCAATTTTTAAAGTTTCACAGAAAATCTTGTCACACACTGACAGAACATCCAAAGAGAAATGCTGTCATTTCCAACTGGAAAAACTATGTAGAGAAGATCAAGGTTTACTATATGTCCCTCTTAACAATTCATCTCTAACTCATCAAACCATGGTACTAAGACTGCTCTTAAGAGGAGGTATTTCAGCCGGGCTTGGTGACACACACCTATAATCCCAGCAACTTGGGAGGCTGAGACAGGAGGATAGCGAGTTCAAAGCCAGCCTCAGCAACGGGGGTGATGCACTAAGTAACTCAGAGAGACCCTGGCTCTAATAAAAAATATAAAAATTGGGCTGGGGATGTGACTCAGTAGTTGAGCGTTCCCTGAGTTCAATCCCTGCCCACCACCCTGTTAAAAAAAAAAAAAAAAGAGGACTTATTTCTGCTCCCTCAGGGCTCCTAGTAAGAGACTATGCATGTGAAAATGTAAAACGATCCGATGAATGAACATCTAAACAATGGACAGAGGGAAAATGTTTAGAGAAGTCAGTGGTTTTTTCCTAGTATCACTTATTGGAATAGGAAATGTTTGGGACCAGTTCTCTTAGGGAACCAAAAAAGGCAGAAAATTTTGGGATACAAAAGTCCAATATTCACATCACACAATGAAATGATTGTCCTTCAAGAAGGAAAGAAGGAATAATGACTCACATGTGGCATAGTTTTTTAAATTGTCAGTACACATCTTTTCTCTGAGTTTCTCTCCTGGAAATGTGCAGAATCCAAAGTTGCCAGTGCTGGAGAAATAAAAGAAGCCATGAGATCAGACTTGCCTCAAAGCTCACAAAATGAGTGACTCGGAACTACTTAAACTTTCCCTCTTTGAGGGAATTTGGAAAAATCTCAGCCCTCCCACAAATCCAATGAAAACCAGCTAGAGCAGAAGAGATTCAGGATAGAATTTTCCTTAATTCCATGATGTCAAACAGGACGCTAAAGGTGCTACTTTCCTAGTGTACCTTCACTCTACAGTAGCATAGGAAAGAGCATGTCCAGGAAATCCCACATCCAGAGTCTTGTGCATAATAGGCAAATACCCTACCACTGACTGACATCCCCAAACACAGAGCTTACTTTTATAGATAAGGGCTGTAAAAAGTGGAAACAAAGCACATCAAACAGATTTGTCATTTCAAAGTCCTTGTAAAGTGGGAACAGGGAAAGAGAACAATAGAAAAATTACTGATTAACATCAGATTACTTCAGGCCACTTTTTTTTTAATTGTAGATGGACATAATACCATTATTTATTTTTATGTGGTATTGGGAATTGAACCCAATGTGCCTCACACATGTAAGGCAAGCACTCTACCACTGACTTACAACTCCAGCCCACTTTAGGTTACTTTTTTACAAGGATTAAATGATTTAAGGATTAAAGTAGAGGAAAATTCGTTATTATACCAATTGAACCTGGCCTGTTTCAGAAACTGGTTTGTCTCTCCTGATTTCTCTGAAGATTAGATGACAACTTGTTTTTGATTTGGTGGCAAGGAACCTCAGCATGATTGATTCCATTTTGATATATATGCTAAGGTCTAGTGAAGGATCCTAGTCCAATATTATGGCCTCCTACAATTTTATTTATTATCAGGAAGGTACTTTACTTATGTTTACCTGAAACTCAGGAACTACCAAATGGAAAAGATGCATAAGCAAGGTATGAGGTGGAAGTATTTTACCCAGCTTTCATGCCCTTCCCAGAAAAGCCACCCTCTTAGGACCTCAATGTGTTCTCCAGCCCCTCAGCATGGTAACAACCCCCTGAACAGTGACTCAAGCCCAAATGACTGCCGACAACATCTCCAACTCCACTGTCTACACCCTTCCCACTCCCCTATATCAGTTCTTTTTTGCCTGTTTGCTCTTTCCCATAAAAGAAAATTCCTTTTGCCTGAACTTTGAGATGGTTGCAGATCTTATGGTTGTAGTATGCTCCCAATTATAGCAGTTTCCTTCCCTTATAGCAATGATCCTTTGCATAAAGTCTTTCCTTTCAGAATTTTTTATTCAACAGGTTGAATAACTTTTATAAAATAATAAAATATTTTTTATAAAATAATAAAACTATTTTTATTTAATTCTCCAAGCTCAGGTTACAAAAGCATTGAGGGTTAAATATGAACAAGATTCACAAGACAGTGAAAGTACACACAGCAGGCCACCTTTAGAAGTTTGACTTCAAGGGCTGAGGATATAGGTCAGTTGGTAGAGTGCTTATCTTGTATGCACAAAGCTCTAGGTTCAATCCCCAGCACCACATACAAAAAAAATTAATTGAAAAAAACAGAAGTATGACTTCAAGAGTGAACAAGTGGGCTGGGGCTATAGCTCAGTGGCAGAGCATTTGCCCAGCATGTGTGAGGGTTTGATCCTTGCACTGCATAAAACTAAACAAATGATATAAAGACATATTGTCCATCTACAACTACCAAGAAACAACAAAAAAATACTGAACAAGTGAAAGTCCTCAAATTATAGTCACTTTTTTTGCCATAGTTTTGTAGGACTGATTTTTTTTTTGAAATATTGATCTTGCATATGCATCTTTCTTGAACTCAATGTTGCTTGAGTGATACCCAAGAAAAGCTAATGAAAAAGTAAATAATAAGGAACAAGATTTTCTTGGGTACAATGTAGTTTGAAGAGTGAGAAGCCATTATAGTAAGATTTTGACTCCCATGACCAATTTTCATCCATTGAAGGTAATAACATCCTCACTGAGAATACATGTGCTAAAATTAATATAAAGATGTAAATTCCCTACAAGTGGATAAGATATTTGATATAGGATAGAGATGCAAATAAAGCATCAAGAAGTATGGACCCAGAAACATTAAATTTAAATTCAATGAGCAAGAAAGTTAAAAAGTAAGAATAGCCAGAAAATACCTGGAAAAAAAATTAGAACCGAGATTTTTTTTAAAAAATTATAAAGTCCACGTCATTGAAATGCTAGATCTTGGCATATAAATAGATATACAGGATAGTGGAATATAATAAAAATCTCTTATCTCTGTGTAAGATGGACTATTTAATAAATGTTAGTAAAAAAGGTAAAATCAGATCTATGTTTTATACCACATACTAAGATTAGCTGCAAATAAATAAGAGCTCTAAATACTATAAAACAAAATCATAAAAGTGCTAGAAGGAAAAACTCGCTGTGTTCTTCTTAACTCCAGAGGGGAAAAAAACCTTTCTATGACTTAAAATTATATGGATAAATTTTACTACATTTAAAAATTGCATGGGATACAAAAACATACAGACACATGACAAATTGGGGGGGGGATTCGAAACTTATATTGAAAAGGGTAACTTTCAGGATCAAATGAGCTTCATTTTACAAATCAAAAGAAAAAAGTTGAGGAAAAGATGAAAATCATGATTTAAAATGTACATAAGAGGGCTGGGGATATAGCTCAGTTGGTAGAGTGCTTGCCTCGAATGTACAAGGCCCTGGGTTCAATCCCCAGCACCACCAAAAAAACAAAACAAATATATAGAAGAGCTGAGTGTGGTGGTGCAAATCTCTTAATTCCAGCTACTCCTGGAAGCTCACATAGGACAACTTAACCAGGCCCTTCATGGGCAATACTCACTTTTTTCCTCCTTTGAGAATGCATGTTTTAGGAGAAAGAGGAGAGGAAATTTTATAAAGGGAACATTATGCAGATAGCACATAAATACTAATGGGTATAACATCACCAGAAGTGGGAGACCACACTTTTCAGAACCTCATGATGTGATGCAACAGGTACCAACCATGAACTATTTTTGCCTAAAAAGGTGATTTACATAAAACCTGATCTGAATCTAGATCTAGCTACACTTTTGCAGAAATACAGGGGATGTGGTAACAAATTTATACACTACAAGGAATCTATTATGCAAAAGTAAGATGTGGAATAGTTTACAGGTCAAATGATACAGGTTTTGTACAAATCAGTAGCACCAATTATATGAAGACAAAAGCAAAAAACAGGAGGAAACTGACATGGATTAAACAAGGTTTAAAGTTTGGCAACAAAATGCAATGTGTGGAACTTACCTGGAGCAACTGTAAAAACCTATCTATGAAACTAGGGAAATTTGAATATGGACTGGTTATATGATAGTATGAAACTACTGTTAGTTGACATAACAGTATTTTCATACTATTATAGGAAGAAAATGGGTAAAGATTGATAGAAGTTATGTTCTTAATTATAGCTATACTGTATAGCTATACTGTTAGAAACATTAAGATTTATACTTTCTATTCTGCTTGAAATTTTAATAAAGTTAAAATTAAAAGGTCTTCAAAGTTCCCTCCAGAAGTATAATTATTTTTATCAAAATCTTGGCTCAGAAAGGATTGATATGTAACTGGGTAGAAAGGAGAAGTCTAGTGTGGCTAGAAAGCATAACTATAGTATCACTGGCTGGCTGGTTCCTCCTCAGGAAGATGTTGTAGGGCACAGAAAATGCCTTGAAAAGAATGAAATTTGAGGGAAGAAAGAAAATGTTAACTTACTTTATGCAAGACTTTCAGGGCTGGGGTTGCAGCTCAATGTTAGTGCACTTGTCAAGCACATGTGAGGAAATGGTTTCGATCTTCAGCACCATAAAAAATAAATAAAAATAAAGATATTATGTTTATCTACAACTAAAAAATATTTTTTAAAATAACGACTTTCAAATGTGTAAGTCCTCCCTGTGTACCTCTCTTAGAAAAAGCAGAATAAAGAAAAAACAACCAAAGGAAACTCAATCTTCCTCAGAGTCCACAAAACTATTTAGGATAACCATCTCTACCCAACCTCAGGCAAGAAAGCTGTCCTCCCCACCCCAAAGGGCTCTCAAGGTGGAATGGGACATCTACTAATGTTATAGTTAAAGCTTTGTCCCAGGGCTTCATAAACTGACTTCCAGAAGTCTAGTCCTGCCCCCAGAGAGATGAGGCCTCCCAGGGAGGCCTCCAGTGGGCCCCAGATACAGACAGATGAGGTCACACAGGGAAACCTCCAGGGAGACAGTGACAACGTCTCGTCCTGTCCCAGGGAAGGTGGACTGCATCCAATCTGACCTTTTCCCCCACAGAAGAGTTGACTCACCAGAACTGACAGGCCAGCAGGAGGCTTTTCAGAGCGTCCTAGGATGGATTGGAGTCCTCCTCAGAGTGAGGCTGAGGAATGTCTCTCAGGAGCTCCCCTCTACTCTGGGGTCGAGGTCCAAAGGCCCGTCTTTGGAGGCAAATTTGGCGTGACGGTAGGGAAGAAATGGATCCCGGGGGAGCCCCCAGATGTTATAGTTAAAGCTTCCTCCCAGGGTTTCATAAACTGACTTCCAGACCACTCACGTATAATCGAATCAAGCCTTTATTGAAGCGCACAGGTGGCAGCTGACCAGAACATAAAGCTGTTCCCCTGATCAGACTCGAACAATTGAAAGGGCACTCCTTAAAAGCCTGAAAACGCAAAAGAGATGTTCAGGGGGTCTAGTCAATGCAAGCCAGCCAGGTTACAGAAGCGGGACAGTGCAGTCAAGTGGAGGGAAGCCTAACCACAGTTAGCCCAGACACCCCAGTTACAGAAACAGAACCCCGTTACCCTAGTTACAGAAACAATGCCCCATTAGGTAGTTCCGTGTTCTTAAAGGTTTCTATAGCAAAAGAAAAAGAACAACTTGCCCCAGTCATGACTCTTCTACTTGGCATGGTTGTTTTACAGGATGAAGTCATAAAACAAAATGGAGTCACATTTGCTCCTACTACCACACTAGCATCTTCCTTTGATGCTTTCAGGGGTTAAATCCACATTAAAAGACATTCTTCAAAAGAGCCTCGTTCTCTGTAAAGTGAAAGAACTGTGGCAGCTGTAATGAAGCAATTCTCAGCTGAGAGAACTCCTCCCTTTTACACGAAGGGACATTAGAGAGATGGAGAGGAAACCAGCGGCCACGAACATTAGACTCCCAAGCGGTCCTACAAGCACGCGCACACATGCATCCAGCTTTAAAACACTACAAGCTATACCCTTCCCTCCTCCGACTGGCTCCGGTTTGCCAAGATAACGGTGCGGATCGCGCCCGAGGTCTCTCCAGCGGCCACACCCATCAATTTCAGAGCGGTGGAACACACCTAGTACCAACAGGACCTCGCTGATCTCGGAACTAAAGTGACGGTGTCTGTTTCCTGGCGGAGGGAGACACCGATATGCCACCCCGGCAAAGCCGACTTCCTGGAAGTCGTCTGGAGCAATCAGATCTAGAAGAAATGTCCTCCAGAGCCAGCGTTCTCCTCTTTGCTGTCAGCATCGAGCCGCTGACAGCACTCCGCTTTTCCCCCGCATTCTACGGGAGCTGTCTCGTGCTCCAACCCTAACACAGGGCGCGGGTCTTAGGGAGGATTCCGGTTCCCACGACCTGGACACACCGGATCTTTGCGTCAAGACAAAAGGGCATTCGTGTATGGAATGTCGCAGCGACGCAAAGGCCTTCGGGAAACGTGGTCTACAGCGGGATACAAGCAGGATCTGGGTGATTCCAGGCCTGGTGGTGAGGTCCAGAATGGACACCGGGCTGGAATCCCATCTGAGCGGTCTTACTCAGCTGGCTCCCCAGAACTTCTAGAAAATCTCACACAAAAAAGGTTACATCTTATTATGATGCCTTCAAGGAAATGTAGTCCGTAACTGGAAAAACTGCAAAAGGCTGCGGGGCAGGGTCTGGCTTTCTTTCAGATAGATCTACGACTAGGACGCGGTCGCCACGGTAACCAGGTTGCTGAACGTTTCCAGGGCCGGGGCTGGGGGTGATACCTGCTTCACAGCCGTGAGTGTGTGTGTGTGTGTGTGTGTGTCTGTCTGCCTGCCTGCCTGCCTGTGTGTCTGTCCCAATGTCCCCTGTGGGGGAAAAAAAGTGGGGAAAGACTGTGGCTGTCCTTGTGAATGTGGTGCATATTAGCTTGAGTTTGAGACTGAGGTGGGATATTGGTCCATTTGGGATTGTGCATGAGAGGGTCTTTGGGAAGGACAGATGAGGCTGGATACCTGAGGAATTTTCAGGAAGCAGGCTTATTTAAACTGCAGCGGTCCAGAGGGGCTAATGCCTAAAAATCTTTGGACTCTGAGTCTGGAAATTCTTTTAGATTTATACTTAGTGGGGATTGGGGGTTCACATAACAGTTACTCTCTGTCCTGTATTCTTAGGCTAGACCATAATTTCACGTTTTGTCTGCAAACCTGGCATTACAAGAAAGAGAAAGCTTCAGACCACACTGAGCTTTCTGCAGTACTCATGTGAAATCCTGTTGACACTCTAAAAATCTTTCTAGCCAGAAGAGAATCTTAATTATGGCAAGGGTCTTTTGGGTGGGGGGTACCTGGTCTACTGTATGACTAGCTTTGAGGATGTTATCAGACTTAGAAAGAAAGACAATGATATTTGGGTTCTTACAGAATTTTATAAATTACGTTGAGAATTGACCTTTGGTGGTGATTGTGGGAAAAGAAGTATGTGAACATAGTATTGTGAGAATGAGAGAAATTGTTAAGAGTTATCATTAAAACTCTAAGCATCAATTTCCTCACCTTTAAGATAAGAACAACAGTTGTATGAGGCTTTAGAACATTGCTGTTCAGTAGAATAAAACTGGATCCCATTTTTTAATATCAGTGCTCTTCAGTACTGTAGCTACTAGTGATATCTGGCTATTGAGAACCTGAAAATGTGGCTAGTTTGACTAAGGAACTGGACTTTTAATTTGATTTAATTCTAATAAACCTAGAGTTAAACAGTGTGACTTGCAGTGTTACTATTGGACAGTGCAACCTGGAACATCAATTTGCCTTAAAAATTTGAAGGAGGTGAAAGTTAAAGTAATTCACGTAGCAAATATTTGAAAATTGAAATGGGAAAGAGATGAAAGGAAATTCAAACTGAGCTTTAGTCTTTCTTTTTTTAAAATTGAGGAATAGAGAGCATGCTACAGGGACACTGCTACATCGATGTTCATAGCAGCACAATTCACAATAGCAAGACTGTGGAACCAACCTAGATGCCCTTCAATAGACGAATGGATAAAAAAAATGTGGCATTTATACACAATGGAGTATTACTCTGCATTAAAAAAATGACAAAATCATAGAATTTGCAGGGAAATGGATGGCATTAGAGCAGATTATGCTAAGTGAAGCTAGCCAATCCCTAAAAAACAAATGCCAAATGTCTTCTTTGATATAAGGAGAGTAACTAAGAACAGAGTAGGGATGAAGAGCATGAGAAGAAGATTAACATTAAACAGGGATGAGAGGTGGGAGGGAAAGGGAGAGAGAAGGGAAATTGCATGGAAATGGAAGGAGACCCTCAGGGTTATACAAAAGTACATACAAGAGGAAGTGAGGGGAAAGGGAAAAATAATACAAGGGGGAGAAATGAATGACAGTAGATGGGGTAGAGAGAGAAGAGGGGAGGGGAGGGGAGGGGAGGGGGGATAGTAGAGGATAGGAAAGGCAGCAGAACACAACAGACACTAGTATGGCAATATATAAATCAATGGATGTGTAACTGATGTGATTCTGCAATCTGTATATGGGGTAAAAATGGGAGTTCATAACCCACTTGAATCAAAGTGTGAAATATGATATATCAAGAACTATGTAATGTTTTGAACAACCAACAATAAAAAATTAAAAAAAAAAAAGAAAAAAAATAAAACTGAGGAATAGGGCTAGGGATGTGGCTCAAGCGGTAGCGCGCTCGCCTGGCATGCGTGCGGCCCGGGTTCGATCCTCAGCACCACATACAAACAAAGATGTTGTGTCCGCCGAAAACTAAAAAAAAAAAAAAAAATAAACATTAAAAAAAAAATTCTCTCTAAAAAAAAAATTTAAAAAAAAATTGAGGAATAATTTATATAAAATTCATAAATATTGCATATTCACCTCAATGATCCTTTACATACACAGGCAATTGCCACACACTGATCAAGAATGTTTCTTTGTGCTGGGTATGATCGTATATGTCTGTAATACTAGCTGATTGGGAGGCCGAGGCAGGAGGATCACAAGTTCAAATCCAACCTTAGCAACTTAGCAAGATCCTAAGCAACTAAGTGAGACCCTGTCTCTAAATACCAAAAAAAAAAAAATCTTCCTTTTGCCCCAGATTCCACCCAGAAATGACCAATATTTGGACTTCTAAAACCATAGGTTAGTGTTGGGGTATTCTTTTTCTTTCTGTTTTGTTTGTTCTGTGGTACTGGGTATTGAATCTGGGGTACTCTATCTCTGAGCTGTACCCCCAGCCATTTTGATTTTTTATTTTGATACAGGATCTTTCTGAGTTGCCTAGGCTAGCCTTGAACTTGCGATCCTCTTGCCTCAATCTTCCAAGTAGCTGAGATTATAGGCATGCACCAAAGAGCCCAGCAGTTTGGGGGTATTCTTGAACTTCATGTGAATGCAGTCAGATAAATGATATGTCTGTCTTGTTGCCATCCACAATGACTCTGAATTGTCTTTTTTTATTGGGTGTAGCAATAACTCCTTTAACCAGCTAGTAAATATTTTAGGTTTGGTAGATCTAATGGTCTCTGTAACATCTGTTCAACCCCTTTAAGTGGCATGAAAGCAGTCACAGATGACATATAAACATGACTGTGTTCACAAAACATTATGGGGAGCTAGAATTGGTGGCACACATCTGTAATTCCAGTTACTTGGGAGGCTGAAGCAAGAGGATCAAAAGTTTGAGACCAGCATTGATGACTAAGCAAGGCCTTATCTCAAAATAAAATTTTTAAAAGGATTGAGGATGTAGTTCAGTGGTAAAGTACCTCTCTAGCATGGATGATGTACTGGGTTTAATGCCTGGTACTGAAGAAAAAATAAAACAAAAAGCTTGATGGACATGGAAATTTGAATTTCACATAATTTTGATATATCAGAAAATGCTATTTTTTAACCACTTAAAACTATTGTTAGGTTAATGACCATGCAAAACTACAGTGATGGGCTGGCTTTAGTCTACAGACTGTAGTTGTTCAATCCTTATCATAATGTAATCTATTTTGTATTGGTAGACACTGTGTGTCTTCTGGTATTTTTGCTATTATGACATTTAACATTCTTGAAATATCTTTTGGTAGACTTAGAGTTCATTTCTGTGGGGAATCTAATAGTGTAATAGCTGGGTCATAAGTAGGCATATATTCTCTAATATGTGTGTATATACATATTTGTAGATACTGCCAAATATCTATATACCTTCACATACCTTTCCAAAGTGGTTGTGCCAGTTTACACCTCTATCAACAAAGTAAAGGATTTCAGCTGCTCTTCTCGGTCTTCTTAAATTTTGTAATATTAATAGGTGAGTAGTGGTAACTCAGTGTGATTTTAATTTGTGTTTCTCTGATGAATGTTCAGGTTAGCCATTTGATGGCCATTTGAATATCCTCTATGTCGAACTGCCTCTTCAGCTCTTGACCATTTTACTAAAATCAATTTGTTCTTTTTTCTGTTTATTTATAGGTACTTGCATATCCTGGAAATGAGGCCCTTGTAGGATATATGTATTGATACATGTTACAGGTATTTTCCCCCAGGTTATCAATTGCCTTTTCACTCTGATAATGAAGTCTTTTTGAAGAACATATGCTCTTCATTTGAATGAAATCAGTTTATTAGTCTTTTATTTGTAGTTGATGGCTCATTCTGTTTAAAACTTTACCCTACCATTGCAGACAAAGTGCTATGTTTGGATGTTTTTGTCCTCTTCAAAATTCATGTTGAAACTTAATCCCTAATGTAACAGTTTGGGGAGGTGGGACCTAATTGGAGGTATTTAAATTATCAGGGCCCAGACCTCATGAACAGATTAATGACACTATATAAAGGGCTTTTGGGGCACACCCATAATCCCAGCGGCTGGAGAGGCTGAGGCAGTAGGATCACAAGTTCAAAGCCTCAGCAAAAACAAGGTGCTAAGCAACTCATCAAGACCCTGTCTCTAAATAAAAACAGGGCTAGGGATGTGGATCAGTGACCGAGTACCCCTGAGTTCAATCTCCGGTACTAAAAAAAAAAAAAAAAAGAAAGAAAGGGCTTGCTGTACTGGATTTTCATTCTCTCTTTTGCTCTTCTGCCATATGAGGACACAACATTTGTTTCCACCTGCCCTTCTGCCTTCCCCTGTAGCAGGAAGGCCCTCACCAGAAACAGGATGCCAGTGCCTTGATCTTGGACTTCCCATCCTCCAGAACTGTAAGGAAGTAAATATCTGTTCTTTATAAAATACTCAGTCTCAGGTACTCTGTTATACTAGTACAAAATAGACCAAAAATAAGGGTATTCTATTTTCCTCCTAGAAACATTATTGTTTTACTTTTCATATTTAGGACTGTAATCCATCTCAAATTAAGTTTTTTGTTTGTTTTTATGTAGAGGTCAAGATGTATTTTTTCTCATATATATAAGTT